CCCTTCCGGGTTATGCGCGCGTATTGCCAGTAGGAAATACCAGAAATTCTTAGACTGAAATGCCGGCCAACCCGGGCTCTAACCTTGGGCTTGGAAATATGCTGCGGACTAGTTATAGTTTATAAAGGTACCGGCGCGCGCCACGTAAACCGCAATCGCAGATTTCTCTCGGCCTCGAATAGAAACGTTTCGCAATCAAGCAGTTCGGCCAATTAGAGACCCTCCGCGAGGAAATTCGGCCGGTATTTACGTAATGCCGGACATACTATTGACCGCCTGTGTTCTCATAATTTACAGCGATTGTGCAAAAGAGTGAAAAAACGTTTGGATTGGAAAAAAATTGAAAGATTCGTTTAAAAGACGCGACAACCCTCGTTTGTAACAGTAAGCGGATAAAAGATGTTCGACATCGAGTAAGCAAAACTAGATTACGCGCGAGATTACCCCCCCCCGAAGAAAAAAATAAGCTGCTCGTGTAATTGTGAATATTTTATGCGGACGCGTAGACGTGAGCGCCGCTCTTCGTTTTCTCCGTGAGCTTTTCGCGGTACATTTTATTAATGCGCTCCGATCTAGCCCCGTGGAATTTCAATGTAAAGCTTCCCGCGCGAGTACACGGAGACACTCGCGAGAGAAGATCGCATTTGCAGCCGAGCACCACCGTCGCTACGTCGTCGTCGTTGCCGTCGTCGTCGTTGGGTGCAGGGTGCGTCCGTTGCATGAAGAAGTATCGATCGGTCTATGTCTCTTCGAGGCGTTTTATTTTTCTTCCCGCCATTCTCCTTCCCCGGTCGCCTTCTTCTCGCGATTCCAGCGCTCGCGCGATCCCCAAGACGGACAATAAAACGGGGGACCCCAGGATCTCCGGATAAAATTCATCTGATCGAGCGGTGCGTCGTCAGGTGTATTAATTTTTTTGTACAGACAACTTTCAGACGGACATAACCGTATCTCCCGATCGAGATGGCTTGAAGAAGATACGATAAAGACTTTCGCGTTTATTCCGCAGTTTCGTACGGCGATCTCAATGTTTCGATGGAAGTAATCCGAGTTAGTGCAAAACCCCCCGAGATCGTTGGCTCGTGTCCATCGCAAATCTCGATCCGGCGCTATCGTTGAAATATCGGCGACTTCAAAATCCACTTCCTCGCCACGTAGTTCCTCGTTTTCCTCTCCTTCAATATATATTTCCTCATAGGAGGGAACTCTGTATCCTTTTGAAGAAAATTCCCAAAGAGGAATCTGTCTTGCAAGCACCGATTCTTTCCAACGTCGTGTAAATATTGCATTACATTCCTATGTTTTCTTTGAAAAGAAAACAGCTGGCACGTGTATTCGCGATGTATCCCAATAGAAATGAATTGGCAGTAGCTTTAGACCATTTTTAATATTTTTATTATAATCGCAATGCTATTATCGTTGCATTAATAACTCATACTATAACTATATCAAATCAAACAGTTTCAAGTATATATTGTATATTATATATAGAGAAAGTGACGTGGAACCTTGCTGTCATCAAGAATTACGCTCTGCTCGACGAGACGAGAGATTCTCTATCTCTTTTCCAATCTTGAAATCTCGAAAGTAATCGGAGCTGGGTGCGGGCTGGTCCAGCTCCGCGGCGGTGGCGTTCGGTTCGTGCAGTGCCGTCGCAAATCCAGATCGTGAAACGTGGTCGGATATCAGTGAGATATCGCCGATGTCGAATCCCTTTTCTCTTTCCCGCTACTAGCTACTACTCGCGCTCTCTCGCCTCCCCTGCAGAAACACCTCTCTCTCCTTTTCATCCCTTCCTCCTATCCAGAAGGGGGGCGGAGGGCGGAGGCGGCCACCGACGATCGATCACCACCTCGCCCACGTTTCTTCCTTCCGCTTTTCGCAATGGAAACCGCACGAACATTCGCGGCTCCGAAAACGGCGCTTTTTGTCGGACGCACCGGCTATTCTCGAAGTTTTTATGAAATAGTTATGTGTGTACTTGGTGGATCCCGCGAGAAAAAACGCGCAACTCGCTTCCCTCGGTGGTGACTTGCTCTATTCAGAATAAGTGTTAGGAGGTAGTTATTCCACTTATGCGTAGTATTTAGGAAAATGTTTCTTGAAAGTCATTAGGATGCTTCTATATATGTGTGTTAAGTTATTATCGTGGTTACGTAGCCGACGCAACAAGTTCAAATATTTGTTTTTGTTTTATTTTGCCTTTAGTTGTGAAAACTAATTAATTCATACACGTGGAAAGAATGATTTTGCTGGAAGGTCTAAAAATTTTAATTTAAAAATAATGTTGTTGGACCATCAAAATCATTTTTCTGAAAACTCAAAAACGATATATAAGTATTACTGTAAAACGTTTTTGATTCTAGCAATCAGTTTGAATTTTTAACCAAATTATTTTGATGGTTCAATAAGAATTATTTTCAGATCTATAGCTAGTAAAATTGTTCTTTTCGTATATATTTGTGTGACGTTAATCTTTGATAATTTCACTCTATTTTTAACAGTTCCGTACGTAATACACAATGAACACAGACGTGACGGCTAATCTCAAGAGTAACGCTATACGCGTGCTCTCATCGGGATCCTCATTTTTCATAACGTCAGCTTATTAAAGTAAATTAACCGGCAATGGAATATCTGAATATATTAATTATGCATTCGACAACGAAGGCAACGAAGTGAGCGGCACCACAATATGCTCGTCCGGCCGGATATAATATCGCGATTACATTTTGCATTGGATACCATATTCGAGCGGATATAATTTACATATACGGCGGAGGCCCTCCGTGTTGTACCTTCGATATTTAAAAAGTACATTCTATCCGTCTGCAATAACAAACGTGATATTCCAGCCCAGCGATTGGAATTTACGCGGATTT